TCTCACGCTTGAGGTATTCGTCCAATCACTAGGCACTGTATAGTTGGCCAATCACAGCACACCTCGCTTTTTTCAGACCGATGAGCTTTGTAAAAATTGACGCGTTTCAAAAAGGCGGGGCATAGAGGAGAAACAATAATGTACAGTATGTGGAAAATAATGTGTTTTTTTAACTTTAAACCGCATAAACACATTTCATTACACCAAATACACAAAATAATGTTCTTTTTAGCAGCATCATATGACCCCTTTAATATGACTCAACTGGAATTACATTAGGCTCTACCAATGAAAGTGACTTTTTAAAGCACAAATGTAGGAATGGGTCCTTACAGGTGAAGTGTGCACCACTTCCGTTAATGAAATAGAAAATGAAATGACTGCTCTAAATACATGCCATTGGTTGAGCTAGTCTGGCTGTGTCCAGCTGGTCGAAATTCTCAAACAAGCAATTAGTTTATATTCATTTTAAAAGTTCAAACAACTGAGTTGTCTTTTTAAAATTTCTTGTAAATACTTTAGTTTGACTGAAACCTTATGGGTCTGATTTTTGTTTAGTTAGGCCTAGATAGTGTGATTGTAGGTCGGCTTTGTCTAGAATGTTCACATTCAAAGTTGGGGTTAGTAATATATCTTTTTTTAAAGAAAAGACGCAATAATGCAGTAATGTTTTTCAGAAGTCACTGTAAAAACATTTATCATGTTAATGAAATATTTCTATTTCAAATAAATGCTGTTCTTTTTAACTTTATATTCATCAAAGATTCTGGGAATAAAGTATTACAGTTTCCACAAAAAAATATTAAGCAGCACAGTTCTCAAAATTTATAATAATAAGAAATGTTTCTTCAGCACCAAATCAGTCTATTATAATGATTTCTGAAGGATCGTGTGACACTGAAGACTGGAGTAATGGCTGCTGAAAATTCAGCTTTGCAATCACAGAAATAAATAGCATTTTAAAATATATTATTAAATATTTTAAATTGTAATAATATTTCACAATATTACTGTTTTTGTTGTATCTTGATCAAATCAATGCAGCCTGGGTGAGCAAAGAGACTTTAAAAACATCAAACAATCAACCACAAACCTCTGAATGGTGGAGTAAACATGTTAATATGACTACAAGAGATAGTTCACCCAAAAATGAAAATTCTGCCATCGCTTACTCATGTTAATGTCATTTCAAACCTTTATGACTTTCTTTGTTTTGCGTAACATAGAAGATATTCTGGAGAATGTTGGTAACCTGTTTTGTTTACTTCCATTGTATAAAAAAAGAGACAACTCTCATCTTATTCCACAGAAGAAAGTCAGTCCTACAGGTTAGAAACGACATGAGGGTGAATAATATATGAACAATTTGCATATTTAGGTGAACTATCTAACTTTGGAAGTGTGCGCTTGCTCAGAAAGACAAAGAGGATGCTTCATGTGTGTTAATCCTTCAAAAAATTTATTAGCTTTCTGTCATGGACAGTACACTCGAAAGCTTGCTGAAGCTCAATTATAACTGTGCATGTAAATGTAGTCTATTTTGTGAAAGAGCCTTTTGTGAAAGTTTCTGCACATTTAACTGTCACATAAGGAAGTATTTTAACTCACAAATTACACTTCACCTTTAAGGTAATAACTTCCTGTATTCACTTTTAACAGTGCTGGATTGCCTAGCACAATTAAAATCCCGGCCTAGCGGTATCCTAATGGTTCTGGCCTAGTTATGTAAACATCACAAGTTAAATCCCAAGAGGTTATCTGGAAAGGTATTGAGTTCACCAATCACTATTGTGTCATTGAGAAAGTTGTTTTTTCATCCTTTTTATTCCTTTTGTTGAAGTATGTTTTAGTAATTATTATTCTGTGGATGATGTTTAGTGCTGTTTTCACTTTAAGAGGTAGTTCACCCAAAATTGAAAATTCTATTCATATTTACTCATTTTGTTCAAAACCTGTATGATTGTTTTGTGGAACACAAAAGAAGACATTTTGAAACATGTCTCTGTATTTTTGTCCATACAATGAAAGTCAATGGGGTCCAGTTGACAAAAACAGTTGAAATATTCTTCAGAATATCTTTATGTGTTCCACAGAAGAAAGAAAGTCATACAGGTTTGGAACAACACAAGGGTGAGTAAATGGTGGCAGAATTTTCATTTTGGATGAACTGTCCCTTTAACTCCAAATACCCAACTATTTTGAGTATTAGTATTTCTTTTTAATGCTAACTTATTTTTTAAAAAAACCTCTAAAACACCCAAACCTTATGATGAAGAAGAAGGGCTAAACGTTATCACTATTATCATCACAATCAAGCTCATCATAGGCATGTGGATAATCATGCCACTGTAGCTCTAACTGCTTTTTGTCTAGCCAAACCACAGTTGTAATACCTTCCAGGTACAGAACAGCCCCTTCCCTTCACTACTACAATCAGTTAACCATGAGATCATTGTGGTCACAAGCCTTGGGCAGAAAACAGTCTCTATGCTTACAGAGATGTCCTAAAACAACAGTTTATAGCTGAATTAGAGATGCTTTTGAGCTCTTGTCACAACACTGACCACACTGTGTCACAAGGGAGAGTTTGTGCCCTCAGAGAAAAACTGGATGGATTGAGGATGTGGAGAAACAAAGCTGGTCCAGTGTGTTTACAGTAAAATATGATATTGTAAATTTGAGAAATGATGCATGTGAAGTAGTGTGCAAGGTGAGGTTATGACCATAAACACAGAGCACATGATTGCCAACAGTGTAAAGGACTTTGAAGGGTGTGTTTCATGCACTTGTATGTTTGTGTGAATTTAGGGTTGGGTATTGGTGAAGATTTCATTATTGAATTTGATTCCGAATCATAATTTTGATTCATTTTGATTTGATTCCAATTCATTTGGGCATATATTTTAGTTATCAGTAAGTTAATTTAATGAAGGATCCATCAGACTGATTCAAACAGGAACTCCTAATTGTTATTCTTTTTTGAATGATTTATTAAAAAGACCAGCTATGGGGTGGGTGATATACCGGAAGACACAATTGACTGGTAGAAATTTGTCAATCGGTAGAGATTTTAGACTATCGTCTCAGTCACAATTACACGCTCACATGATGTTGCTGTGCTACGTGGTCACGAAAACTTGTAGTTTGAATGCATTTTTAAGCATTACAATTAAAAAACAAGTTTTAAGCCATTGAAATACAATCAGCAGCGAAAGAGAACTCATTTTGCTGTATACAGTGCTTATTTTTACCGCTTTATAGGCCTTGAAAAGGTTAAATACACACACTTGTATGTGTCAAAATGCCTGTCTTTGCAAAGTATTCCCATAAACACAGTAATTTAGGTCTTAAGTGAAAGCAAACTGAGAAAGAAAACACATGTGTAACAGTATATTGGATCCAGGCAGCTCTTAAAGTGACAGCAGTCTAATATTCCTGCTGTCTGTCATTCATGTTAATCAAACAACAAAACAGAGAAAATCTCTCACTGCTCTTGACTAAATCACTTTTGTAGGAAGTGATAAGAAGATAGATATATAATAATATATATATATTAATAATTTAATAAGAAGAAATATATATTTATTGTATATTTTATACAACACTAGCTTGCTATATTCTTTTTCTATTCTATCTGTTTTCTTTTTATTATATAATTTTAAAAAAACCTTGCAATGTGTACTGCGTTAAGCTAACTGAGACTTGTTATAGCACTTGCATATCATTGCTCTTTTGTTAATGTTGATTGCTTCCATTGTCCTCATTTGTAAGTCGCTTTGGATAAAAGCGTCTGCTAAATGACTAAATGTAAATGTAAATATTTAATTTTCACAGTGAAGAATATGCAGTGTTTTTATACATTTGATTACTTTATACAATGTATGTAGCATTTCTTATTTATTTGTTCTACTGTAGTTTTTTGTGCTATTGCTTGTAATTATTTTCTTATTCTTATTTATTCGCTGACTGTCTTCAGTGAGCTTGTTTTTTTTTATTTAGGCTAGTAATAGTTTTTTGTGAGGTTTTCACTGGTAACAAGAATGATGAAATTTCTATGATATCAAAAAAATTTGATAAAACTATATCATGATATATATTGTTACCGTGAAATAAAATGACTCATATCATGATATAAGATTTTGGTATATCGCCCAACCCTAGACCAGCTAATGAGAGTGAGTTGTTTGAGAATTGGACTACACTAGTTGTCCTGTATGTTTTTTGAGCCACTAAATTGAAACAGTTCAAGAAAGTCATTTGTTTGTGAACTGGATTGTTATTACTTGCAGCCCGTGAGGACAACTCAATAGAAACACACATTTTACCACATTCAATTTAGACTGCAAACTTGAGTAAAATACAATGTCTTTTGTCATGGTGACCATTTTAGGATTTTACGAATAGATATCAAGTTTGTTTAAATGAATATCGCGATTAATCGCAAAGTCAGTATTTTTATCCGGCACTAACATGGCTTATTCCTTAAAAGTTGTTTGCTAACATTATCGCCTCTCTTCACAGTCCCATCATGTCTAATTTGGAGCTGCTGGACTTTGAGCGCAGTGGAGCTCCAGGGATTTCAGAGGTGAATATTTGAAGATGAAACTGGACATTGCGACCCTAATCAGCCCCACCTCCAGAGTCCGACCTCTACCAGCATGTCGTAACGCCGACAGAACTCCCCCATCGAACGGTACTGCTGGATGCCACTCTTCAGCAGGGGAGGATGGGTGATAGTCCCATGAGAATCACCTCCGCCCACAATCCTCATTCCATCCTCTCATGGAGCATACAGCCGCCTACAACACACCGTGGAACATCATCCACACCACCTCTTGGCGTCCGAACGCAACCCAGCTTAACGCCTCAGGACTGAGCGAGCCCAGAGATGGACACCTCCTGCAGACGCTCGGCCTGTGCACCATGCTCCTGATGGACATACTGGCTATAGTAGGCAACTTAGCCGTAATGACAGTCATCGCCAGGACACCGCGACTACGTAAATTTGTGTTCGTCTTCCATCTCTGCCTGGTGGATCTCATCGCGGCCCTGGTGTTAATGCCTCTGGGTATGCTGTCAGGTCAGGGCTTTTTCAACAAGGCTCTTTGTCAGGGTTACCTGTGTCTGAGCGTGGGACTGATCAGTGCTGCTATCCTCACTATCTCAGCCATCAATGTCGAGAGATACTACTACGTCGTTCATCCCATGCGCTACGAGGTGAAAATGACTGTGGGGTTGGTGGTTTCAGTTCTGATTGGAATATGGATCAAAGCCATCCTCATGTCCGCGTTCCCTTTACTCGGCTGGGCGCTCGATAGAGAGGAGCTGGGAATGGCTCTGGGGAATGTTATGGGGAAAATCGTTGAACCAAAGTGCTGCTCGCTCCACTGGATGGTGGAAGGGCCCCAACGGCTGGTGTTCATGGTCCTTTTTACCCTCATGTACTTCCTGTGTCCAGTCCTCATCATCTTTGTGGTGTACTACAACATGTTTAAGGTGGCCAGGGTTGCTGCCATGCAGCAAGGGCCAGTCCCCACATGGATGGAGACTCCCCGGCCGCACTCTGAATCTCTGAGCAGCCGCTCCAGCATGGCGGCCAGCCTCAGCGGAGCTCGGACCACCCCTCAGAGGACTTTCAGTGGGGGCAAGGCTGCGGTGGTCCTAGTCGCCGTAGGAGGTCAGTTCCTTGGGTGCTGGCTGCCTTATTTCTCCTTCCACATGTACTGCGCCGTCATGCCGTCCTCTCACGAATCCCTCGCACGCATGGCCCAGCTTGAGAACGTCTTCACTTGGATCGGGTACTTCTGTTTCACCTCCAATCCTTTTTTCTATGGCTGTCTGAATCGGCAGATCAGGGAAGAGCTGGCCAGAAACCTGGCCTTCGTTTTTAAGTGGGGGCGTCCCGGTGAAGAAGAACAGCTGCCCAGTCGAGAGGCTTCTATTGAGGAGAACTTTCTCCAGTTTCTTCAGGGCACAGGTTGCAATATGCGGCCAAGGAATTCCCAAAGCATCTCCATCCCTCAACAGGAAGAGGACAATCCTCTCTCCACCGAACTCCACAGGCCATCTGTTGACTTCCACATTCCTGGCCAGATCATGGAGGAGACCTCGGAGTTCATAGAGCACCAACACATGAACGACCTTAATATATCAGACAATTGTATCAAGACAAAATCGGAACTGCAAGGTTGATATTTTCAGATGTGAAATCTATATTTAATCATATATTGTTGCTATGTTTTACTATTGGATCTTTTTATACTCTGCCGACAAATTTGTACATAGCTTGTTTTACATTTTTGGTTGGTAGGTTTATGTCATACCCAAAGCATTTTTTTTTTCTTTAGAGAAGATATGTTGAACTGATGAAATGACCTCATTTCAACACATTACCACTAGACAGAAACGTATTTACATAGATTCAGCGACATTTGTCCGAACAATGTAACATGGAAGCAACATTGTGACGTGGAATCTGTATTCAAAAAGCGGTATGAACCGCAAGTGGTCGATGTTACAAACTTTTAATGCTCCTAATGTTAATTCAGACAACAAATGAGTATAAAATTGGTTAATAACTAAGTATTATTGTAACAACAAAATTTGGAGCATGCACTAATATTGAACCAAGGTTGTTTGTGTGGTGGATAGATTCTAATTCTTTAGTTGCCGTAAAATTATGGCCGTCAGCAATGTCATATTTTGAAAAAAAAAAAAAAAAATTTTTTTGTTTTTTCCTCAAAAATGAATTAAAAACATTGAAACACATATAGTCTGTGGTGGTTGTGGTGTACAAGGGCTTTCATCCTTTCTATCTGTACTTCTGTTTAAAAGTTTGGGGACATTTAAAATGTTTTTGAAAAAAATATTTTATGCTCAACAAAGCTGCAATTATTTGCTAAAAACTACTGTTATAAACATTAATATTGTGAAATATTTTGTAATATATATATATTTTAAAATATAATTTATTCCTGTGATTATTTCTGTGATGAGCACCAAATTATTATTTGATGTAATGTTGAAAACAGTAGTATTTTTGTGGAAACTGTCATTTGTTTTCAGGATTCCTTGATTAGAAAGTTAAAATAACAGCATTTATTTGAAATAGAATTTTATTCTGTAACATCATAAATGTCTTTACTGACACTTTTGATCAATTTAATGCATCTTTGTTAAATAAAAGTATTAATTTCTCAACCCCCGCCCCTTCCCCAAACTATTGAACGGTATATTCAGACCATTCCAAAAAAAAAAAAAAAACTCACATTAAGAGCGTTTACACGATGAGTTGTGTTATTTTGGTCATTTGAACAATTAAGCATATGCAAAAGAACAACCCGAGCAGAATGTGATAAATTCCCAAATTGGAAGAGTTCTGAAAATTTATCAAGATGCACATTCATACGGCAAGCCTTGCTAATAAGCCGTAAAGAGATACAATCTCGGATTGGAAAAAAAAGTGGAGTGTGTTTACAGAAAGTTAAAACTGCCTTGGTTTATTCAGTCACATTTTCCACACCTTGTGACATGAAGATGGCAGCTTCCACCTCGGGGCCTTGGGTTTGCTCAAGCACCTGATCCACAAAATGGCAAGGGACAATCAGATAGTCTCTGACAAAAGGTTAACAATCGGGTCAGCTGCAAACATGTGCCACTACAGATGTCCTTTTAGATTTTGTACATCTCCACCCACTCCCATACTCCCAACACTGCTATTATTATCATTTTTTCATTTCTTACATGTGAAGAAGATTGTACTACACCTGCGGTATTTCACTCATTAGCAAGTTTCACATCAGATCTGAATCATCAGCTGAGTTCTCAGATATTGGTAGAAAATGATGGCACTTCATATCTCTCTCCTCACTGCAGGGACCATAAAAAAGTCCAGACAGAGATATCAGCCAGTTCAAAAACAGAACAGTTGCATATTCAAAATGTCTGAGTTTGAGACAAGATATAGATATATATATTCCTTATTTTATATCATCAGAATATTAAAGTAGCTGTCCAGACTGTTTACATTTTTATATATCACTAAAAATCTTTTGGACATGCATGGTAATACTTTGAGGAAAGAAAAAAGTTTATAACAACAAGATGATATTCTCAACAGTCTTCTGCATTATTAAAAGACGCTGTGTTGTTTCTTTGTTGTTCTTGTGATGCAGACAAGTCTCATCTAGGTGTCAATGGCCATTTGTTTACAGGTATAAATAGTCAGTGCAGTGTGAGCCCTGCTATGTTTTGCCATAAGCAGAATGAGCAGCATACAAAAATACATCTTTATTTAGAAGTTAATTTCCATATAACCAAATTCGGTGGTTGCTATTTTGGTGGTTGCTATTTTGAGCGTTTGAAATGAAAGGCAGTAAAGACACAGTTTATAATTTTCCATTGTAATGACATTAGTGCTAACTGTTTTGTTAAAATGGAGAGGAGTGAAGTATACTGGGTCAAAAAAGTAACAAAGCAACTAAAATATGAAAAAAAAAAAACGAGATATAATCTTATATATACACATTCAAAAGCTTGGGTACATTTTTTTTTTATTTGAAAAAACAATGCTTTTATTTAAGGGCATATTAAATCGATCAAAAGTGACTTGTATAATTTATCTTTTATTATATTGTTTCAAATAAATTCTGTTCTTTTGAACTTGAATCCGAAACAATGGGTACCAGGGTTTCCATAAAAAAATAATTAAAAAGTACAGCAGTTTTCAACATATAATAAGAAATAATAAAATATTAGAATGATTTCTGAAGGATCATGTGACACTGAAGTGACTCATGTGACTAAACATTTTAAAATGTAGAAAAATAGAAAATAATTATTTTAAATTATAAGGATTTTCCACAATATTACTGTTTTGTATTTTAATAAAATAAACCCTTACAGACCCCAGGTTTTTTGAACAGTAGTGTATATAATTTATAATTCTACATTTATAATTCTAAATGTTTTAGATTTTTTTTGTTAGACTTTTATTATAAACATAAATTATAATAACTATTTTTTGATTCACCTCCTAGACTTTTGCCTGTATATAAAGATACAATCATAACATTTATGCTGTTCAACTATTAATAACTGCCTTGAAGGACATCTCGAAATAATTCAGTAAACTCATCTTGACAGAAAGTGACTCAATATAACAAACCATTATTTAAGAGGTCAAACGCCATTTATATCAAATACAGTGCTGCTGATGAAAATATTTCCTATTCACATTGTGTTGTTCTCTCTCTTCTCCTCCCCACACATTCACCTGCAGTATATATATTCACATATTTACGAACATGCACACACAAACAAATGTATATAGACACACACTCATGTGCACAACACACATCAGTGTACTTTGATGTTTGGTAAGTAAGAGGGAGGCCCCTAGTGGTGAAGTTCAAACAACCTGACCTTTTAGCTCTGCTGAGAGATGAAGGTGTTGTGTTGAGAGCTTTGTGAAGTCATTTGCAGCACTGGGGGAGGTTGCTCCTCGCCGCTGATTAGAGATCAGTTTGTGCGTCCGCTCAACCCAGAGAGTTTTCAGTAGCTGTTTTAGATTCACAAAAGATAATGACTTCATTACAATCAAAAGAAACTGCATTTACATCTCTATGAAAAATTAATCGAGGTTTCTAAACATTATTTGCTATATTATCAAAAAAATGTATGCTTTGATTAATCAATGGTAGAAGCAATGGGAGTTTGAAATGTTGAAAATCTGTATGCATATTTTCTAGATCATAATATTGGGACGTTATGAATTCCAGAGATAAACTCAACAGGTGGCATCAGATGAATAAATAATCAGTAAAGCCTGATTTAATGTGATCTTATCTTATGCAGGGGTAAAGGATTCATTGAGGGATCCGCCAGTTAAAAGTGTTTCTGTCTGTTTAAAACAATTCAGCTAATTTTGGGACCTGCCTCTGTGTGAAAGTACCCGTATATTGCACTTGATGGCAGGTAAAGGAACATTCCTGTTCTTAAGTCCGAGATCCACAGTGAGACTAAACAAATCCAGACTCAGCTCAGCTGTGATTCAGTGGCGGAACACAGGCTTTATTCTCAACCACTGTGGGACTTGGTGTTTCCATGGTAACTTATCCTCTGTGACATTTCTCTGGCTAAGGGAGTGCGTTCATGAGCAAAAGGCCCTCATAACCTGCTGCATCACTTTACAAAGCAACAATGCAGAAGTTTGTATCTCTGTCTGTAAACATGCACTGAGATGACATGGCAGTTTGTATTTAAAAATGCTCACAATTTTTAACAAAAGTCATATTGAAACTATCTATCCTAAATAATCAAAATATTATGCAAAGCTCTCTTGTATAGACCCTTCGTTCGTTCCAAAGGCCAAAACTACTGGAAGCATTTCTTAACACAAAAAAGGTGTAAAAAAATAAATAAATAGGCTAGATAAATTCGATTTTGTCCGAATTTCACCGTAGATTTATCCCGGTGAGTCGAATCTTGAATCATGCCGTTAAAAGATTCACCGATTCGCTCAGTGATTCTTTCTGCAGCATAAGTGGCGACAAGCGCCTTTTTGTGGGTTATCAGCGAATCATTACTCAACCGATTGCTTAAAAGAATGTTTAAGAACGAAACAAGCTTTTATTAACATCTTTCATTAAAATTTGTTTCAAAAACAGTTTTAATAACGCTCCTACGGTAGGCTATTTTTAATTGTATATAATCATTACACATATATATATATATATATATAGTTTGTATATTGACAATTGACAAATGACATTTGTATATAGCCATTTTACACACTAATATTTAAATCTCCGTTCAAGAACGAGATGTGTCAGTTTTTCTTGTTCACAAACCAAATCAGTCTCGATTAGTGCCGCTCCGACTGTCGTTCAGACTCAAAACTGACTCGTTTGGTGAAATGGGCGTGTTCGTCCAGTAGGTCCAACCAATAATGTTGCTTCCTCACAAACCGCAGAGTTCTGATGGTTCGGACGTCAGTCACGCGCTTCAAACGGGAGAGCCTTCAGCGAACGAAACGTGTATGGAAAGCCGTTGTAACATTTAATCTATAAGCCGCTACTAGTTTCTAAAAAATAGGTACTAGTACCATGAAAATAGATACTAGTACGGCTTATAGATTAAATGTTAAAACGGCTTGCCATAAACGTGTGAGTCAGTGCATGGAACTGAACGAGAACGATTCGTTCATTTAAAAGATTCATTCAAAAACACCGATTCGTTAGCAGCTCTAATTGTGATCCACTTCGAGACATTTAGCTACATGTTTTGGATACAGTCTTGGATACCGTTTTTGCGTGAAAGTACTTAAACTGGCGTTCGCAGCAGACCGCAGAACCTAGGCAGTGGAAACTTTTTAGTCACGGAAAAATTGTTCATCTGGGTTTCTGGTTTTGGATCCTTTGCTCTGTCCCAGCCAATGTAGTTTCGGTGGATCGCGGTCCCGTTTAGGCTTGGTGTTACAAGAACCGTATTTTTAATATTTTAAAGTATCTGTTTTCATACGCTGGCATCATCTCGTGCGAACCTGCCAACGCCTTTTCTCTCCTTGGCTTCGTTATTCCTCAAGCTGAAGGAAAATCACTACAACGTCCAGTTTTAAAGGTTCTTATTAATCGTTTTATAAACGTTTTGTAAAATGGGTTGCACGTTAAGTGCTGAAGATAAAGCAGCGATGGAGAGGAGTAAGATGATTGATCGGAACCTGCGAGAGGACGGAGAGAAAGCATCCAGAGAAGTCAAACTACTGCTGCTCGGTATGATACAGTACACTTTCTTAATATCAACGTTTAAAAACGCAAATGCATGCTATTTTGTTTTTCTGTCATTTTCTTCCTTTCACGAATCGTTTTCGCGCTTGTCGATTGTGTTCAGTAGCCTAATACAGGTGGTCCAAAAAGTGAACTTGTCACTGCAGATTGTCATGTTAAAATTTAAGGCAGCAATTAAACTTAAGCATTCAGCTGTAATAGGCTGAAATATCTTACAGAGTGTAGAACAAAGATCGACAACCTGTTGAGCATTATTCAAACCTGTCGACTAAATTATAAAGTGGATTCAGAATGTGTTCCGTTTGTACTAGTCTTGGCTCAGTGTGCTGTCAAAACATGTTTCCCTTGGCAATCCTCCCCCAGTGTCCCAAAACCTACAGCATTTGGTTGCTCTGTGTGACATGAGAAGCAAACCCACACACTCACACCCCCCGGGATCACAGCAAAACAGTGGAAAGCAATGGTGTGGATTATGGCAGTATTCCAGCTATCAAAGCGTGATGGAATGCAGGAGATAATAGCTTATTTGGACCAATAGAGTGACAAAATACTGGTGTTTTGTCTGTCTGATGGTTTTTGTATCCTTTGTCGGTAGCATACCCATTTTTAGAGAGAGAAGCACCCTAGATAACAGATACAGGTGGATATTTTTAAATGTAATGTTTTGATCAATTTAGTTGTGTTAATTGCTTCTGTTTGTATTATTTATAGGTTGCTTTGGGAAAAAAAGTGCTGAAGTAATTAACATAAATAAATATTCTCATAAAGTAGCAAGTGCCTTGTGACAGAGAGGTGGTTTATCTGAGTAAATCATACTGTGGTTTGTTAAGGAGTGGTCAAATATGGAATGACATCTGTGATTTCTAGGTGGGATTGTATTCCTTTGGACTGTGATATTTTTCTACATCCAGATTCTCTGTCAAACCAGGTTAAAACTATTGCAGTAGATTACACAATCAGAAGTTATGATCAGCAGCTTTGTCTGTTGGTGAATGATGTTGTCAAATTCTTATGTAATGTTTCAGACAGATTAGACGTGCATATCCAAGACAGCATTCCTGTCAGTGGATCAACATTTGTGTGTGTAAAAATCCTCCTTTTTGTACCCTTTTTTTCTCAAGTTATGAAACCCTTCCCTTCTTGGCATTTAAATCGTGCATTGGGGCATGTTTGAAGGGGGGTGTGGGTTGGCTTTTTACCCTGGATGTGGAAACCCACGGTATGCTGGAAGTGGGACGAGCATTTCAATGAGCCGAATATTACACACTCCGTTAAACACAGAATGCCGTTCATAAATAAAAGCCGCTCTGAAAGAACTGTCCGAGGACGGCGAGTTCTGAGGTTACAGCTGGACGAAGACCAACTTCTGTGGCCTGAGTGATCACAGTGAGCTAGCGAGTCATCCTGAATTACTGATTATTTTTATACGATCTTGCTGTTTTAATACTGCTGGCGAGATTAGACAGCATGGCTACATCCCTGTAGGCAAGAGGATTGCAACTGTCTAGCAGAGTTGACTATGGATGAGTTGTAATTAGCATTGCACAATGAGCTCTGAGCTTAATCACATTGTGGGAACTCTCTTGTGACTTTTTCTTTGTGTTCTCGGTGACTCTCCTGACATCAGCAGATTCAGGTGCATTAGGCTATGATGACTCTACTATTACTTCTGGCTGAACCGCAATTCAAGTGAGCTGTTTAAAGGGTACTCCACCCAAAAAAAATAAAAACTCTGTCATCATTTACTCACCCTTATGCTTTCCAAACCTGTGTGTGTCTTCTGCAGAACACACAAGAAGTTATTTTGAGGAAAATTGGGAACCAAACTACATTGGAGCCTATTGGAGACATTTCTCAAAATATATTTTTTATGTTCCACAGAGAAAAGAAAGTCCACTGTTGTTCATCTCTTTCCATTCCGCAACTGTTATATATCAGTGTTGTTATCATTATCAACTAGAACAAAAACTAAAACTATTAAAATTGTTTAACTAAAAATTGTTAATTGAGTCTTCACACTTCTGCTCTTTTCCTTATATCAGCAGTTTATAGAGACCACACCTGTCAAGGACAAAAAACAACAACAAAAATCGATATGACTTCATGTCACTGAAGATCGTTGTCTGTTTGACATCAGTAATGAAGAAAGGAAAAAAGTGTTTTTTAACCATTTTGTTTTGCTTTCTAAAGACTATGCTAAAATTGTGAAATTAATTTATTTAGTTTACTATTTAATTATTATTATTAAGTCGTAATTAAGACGCCTGGTGCATTCATGTCACTTTAGTCGGAATAAGATGATGAGTAAGGAATGTACATCAGATGTGTTTTTGCTTTTTATGTTTTAAATTTAAATTGAATCATTATATATTTTTTCATAAATGTGCAATACTGTCAAATTGTGTACATGTAACACGTAATCATTTTTATTTTAAATGAAAAAATTAATTAAACAACCAATTTAGCATCAATACAGATGCTGCATCTATTGTGTTCCTGACACTGACAAGCCCCCAACTCTGAAACTCTTGTCTTTCAGAAAGTTCAGAGTTTCCCACTTGTAATTACGACATTGTGGAAAGATCATTGACCTCACATGAATGCAACTATCTGTTCAAAAAATTCCTTTTGTCTTCCACAGAAAAAAATGAGGGTGAATAAATATAACATTTTTTATTTGAACTCTTCATTTAACTGTCGGTTTCTGGAAGAAACTTTTTGCTTGTCAGCTGAGGGATGATTTCTCAATGTAAAATTAGTTTCTGTTTTTGATAACACCATGATTATCCCACATGAGGATATTGCTCGGTAGGGGGTTTGTCCTCAAGGGTCAGCTTACTGCTCAATGTAAATCTGCACTATTGAAAATAAATAGTTAAATAAAAAAAAAGATATAAATCATAAAGCACGGCTCTGCTCAGCTGGGGTTGATAATAGCGGCCATCTTAACCACACTGCACATGCCACTGCAGCTAACTGTATAATTACAGCAGGAGTAAGCCATTCACACACCCATTCAAATGTTCACAGATGTGTATGTGGAGATTTTGAGAGCCGTGTGTGGCTCTCGCTCAAGTGGCTGTAAATGCAGAGCTGTAGTTATTAGGAAAAAGTGTGGAACTACTGATCTGGGATCCAGTTTGTGTGAAATGAATGGATACATTTACTTTGGCTGATCATAAATCAGTGCTCTCACAATGAGAACCTAAAAATGAGTCATTCATTCATTCATTCATTCATTCCAATTGCTTGTTTATTTTACTTTGTAACACATGTAACAGTTTTTAACAGTTCTGCAATAATAAATAATACACTTTATATACATATTTGATCTGAAGATGCAAAATCCATGATACTATTGTTGTCAGATTTTTATTGCTGATTTTACTTACAGTATGTTAAAGGAGACATATTATGCCCCTTTTTACAATATGTAATATAAGTCTCTGGTGTCCCCAGAATGTGTCTGTGTAGTTTCAGCTCAAAATACTCCACAGATCATTTATAATATCATTTTGAAAATGCCTATTTTGAGTGGAAGCAGAAACACGCTGTTGTTCGGGCCTGTCTCTTTAAATGCAAATGAGCTGCTGCTCCCGCTCCAGAATAGAGCTGCACCATTACAGCTGTACCTGCTAAAAAACATCTGTTTTGGTTCTGATTATCATGTTTATCGCGCTGAAATCATGCGTTTTAAACCATATGAGTTTAAACTTCTGATATACGGTTTTCTGAGCGCACACATCCGAAGCACACGGACAGAAAGCGGCTGAAACTTACAGATTAAGGGGCGGTAATATTATAATGAGATCCTTTTGCCACGTCACCAAGGGAGCGAAATCAGACGCACTCGTTTTCTCAGACGCTTGCAGAAAAAGGCTTACCAAAACAAAGTTACTGGGTTAATCTTTTTCACCTTTCCTTGGTTGGTAGATGCACTGGGGACCTGATTATAGCACTTAAATCCTGGAAAAGTCAGATTTTCATGATATGTCACCTTTAATGAGAGAACTAACAATGTCAAATGCCAAATGTGTGTCCTCAGTGAATCATTTTATGCAGTTCATACAAAAATAAAAATTGTGTCATCATTTACTCACAAGTTGTTTTACTCATTAAAACAACTTGAGAATGAGGAAATAATGACATAATCTTCATTTCTGGGGGAACTTCCCATTTAATGATTCATGCACAAATTGAGCTGATTCAACTTTTTTTGGGTGAACTACTCCTTTACTACTCCTTTAAAAAAAAAAAAGACTAACCCACATCCGGCTTGCTTAACTGTACACTGGTGGAAAGGTCAATAGGTTTGTGTGTTCTCAATCTGTTTGGCAATTCCAGAACTGATTTTCATGAAAACGTTATTTGGCTCAACCATTGATAACTCATTGACCTTTTACATGTGCCAAGGCCTCATCAGACGTGGCAGGACGTTTTGGCCGTCTCACTCTCAGCTGCAGCATGCCTGCGGTTCAAGACTCTCAGAAGAAATTTTCCACATGATTCTCTAGCCCCCAAGACCCACAGTTATTCCTTCACCATGTAATAAATTTGGGCTAATATGGCAGCAAGCCACACCTCAGAAGCAGATATTACTAACCCTTAATGCGTCCTACAGTAGATTTGCTGCATGTAACCGCCGGCACAAATGATCCTGAAGATTGAACAGTTGACCAACTGTTATTGGACTGAATTTTTTTTTACCAGAATGGCAAACCAAAGGATGTTTTTAATTCAAGTCTTATTCATTTTAATACAAAAATGTAGGTATGTAAAATTGATTTGTAGGTTACGGACTCTGTTACTCCATATCCAAAATGCAATGTAATGCAATACCTGCTAAATAGCATATTCATGTAAAGTGTTATGTGAACTATACTAATATTCATTTCACTTGTCAGCTGAGAAGTAAAGCATTGGATTACGTACACGCCATGTGTCCACTGGCCTGTTTGCTCATGTTTGTACAAGCATCTCTTTCTGGTGTGTTAGTTAATAAGCCATTTAAGTGAGTCATTTGACTTGGTTAAAAAAGTTCACCTATCGTAGCTCCCGCTGTCCTCACAAACACTTCGGCTGGGGGAACTAACATCAGTCAAACCTTTCATCTTCAGGGCATTGAATCTCACCGTATGGCAAGCACAACCCGAAATAGAGAGCTTGTTCTGCAGCTCATGCTGGGCTTGTGATGTGGGAGGCAGAGGTTGAAAGCTTCTATTCATCTAATGCAGACCTTCTCCTGAGCGTGTGATGTTTGGGGTCAGGCGAATAAACTGCATTTATCCATTTGCCATTTCAACCTCATCAACAACGTTCTGTGTTTTTGTGCTCTTTTAGGTGCTGGGGAATCAGGGAAGAGCACAATAGTTAAGCAAATGAAGTGAGTGTTTTGATATTTTTTATTATTATTTTTTTTTAATCTTTTAATTTTCGTTATGCTGATATGCAAGATTGAGACTGATAGTCAATGTTCCCTCTAGTTTTTGTTCTCGCTGTGCAAAACCTTTGGGCTGACTTTTCGGCCACCATGATATACAGTATAATGGTTATGAATATATGTATATATGAATATTTATATATGTGTATATATAATTATATGCATATATGTATATGTATGTATGCATTATAAATATATACGGTAAAATTTTGGTTCATAATTATATATATATATATATATAGTTAACATTAATTTTAACAGCATAAAAATATACTTATTATATGATTATAATAAAAATAAATGTAAGTCATTGTATATAGTATTTTAAGTATATCTATATAATTTAATAATTATTCATGTTATTATATTATGTATATTGTTATATTAATATTATATTGTTTTAATTGTATTATTTTATGTTATACGTAAGTTTATATGTATATATTATACAGATATTTCTGTGTGTGTGTATAACACACACACACACACACACATGTCTGGTCAGCTATCCTTTTGGGGACTCTCCATAGGCGTAATGGTTTTTATGTCCTACACCAACCCTACCCCTAAACCTACCCCTCACAGGAAACTTTCTGCATTTTTAGATTTTCAAAAAACTTCATTATGTGTGATTTATTAGCTTGTTTACCCGTGGGTACCTCAATTTAGGTCCCCACCGTGACACGAGTCCCCATGAGTCTGTGTGTATTCAGGTTTAAGTCCCCACCAGAATAGAAAAACAGGTACACACACACTGTATACACACACACACACACACACACACACAGAAATATCTGTATAATATATATATATATATTGTATATATACTGTATATGTAACTCTTCATATATATATATATATATATATATATATGAAGAGTTCATTTGCAAAAACAGATTTTTAAAAATGTTTTTTTATCCTGCATTCCAATTAATATCAATGAAACTGCAGTTGGGTTGTTTTGATTAAATAATAATAACTAAAAAAGCTAAAAACTAAAAAGCTAATAACAAAAAAAAACAGCTAACTAACACAATAAAACACAAGAAAAAACATGATTTATGAAAATTAATAAGAATGGAGTTATCTATTTTTGCATATAAATTCTTCATATGTAATTATTAGAACATATATAAAAATTAAATAAATTACATAATGTAAATAATTGTAATCAAATATAAAATTATCGTACATAATAAATATTTGATACTAAAATGTGTATAGAAATTAATGGTTATATGGCCATTCAAGAAATAAAATTTTTCTCTGAACTGAATTTTTTAGTTTGTGCAGCACCACCATTAGAATTCATCATCAAGGCCATCTGTGCACACAGCTTAGAGGGAATGTTACTTGCAGTTATTATTGGATCTTGCTGATTTAATTGTTTTGTTTGATGTGCAGTAGATGTCGTTATCTGATTTGTTTTACGTAAGGATCATTCATGAAGATGGCTACTCAGATGAGGAGTGCAAGCAGTATAAAGTCGTGGTTTATAGCAACACTATTCAGTCCATCATTGCCATTATCAGGGCCATGGGCCGCTTAAAGATCGACTTTGGGGATCCTGCAAGAGCGGTAAGATAAAGAAATAAAAACACTTCTCTAGTCTAGACTGTGTAGTGCTGGAATTTGAGTACAGTGTTGCCTGTAAAATTCACCCTCTGGTCAACCCAAACAGAGTTTAGTACTTGGAAAAATGTTTCTTTTTTCAGTCTTCCCAGGACAAAAGTATTTCGGATCATTTATAAAATCATGACGCTATGTACCACCATAATTGGTCACTATTTCTAAATACACTAAGAATCCAGTGATGTTTTCCCACGATGTTTTTCATCAAATTTACATGAAAGAATGATATTATATTCAGCTATATGCATAAAAATAAATAGCAGTATTTACCCACATATGTTTTAACTAAAACAGGAGGAAACATTTTTGATGGAAACAATAAATAATTTTTTCAGTTCAGAAAGAAATTATATTATACCTGAATTGAGTACAACAACATAATAGAAATAAATAAACTATAAATGTAACAAATTTGTATTTCTAACTGCTACCACACAAAAATAAAAATCTAGCACAGCTAGTGTAGCTTCAGTCATGAACTTATGAGGTATATTTGAATCAATCAGTCACAAAGACTCCGTTTTCAGACTATCTTCTAATGTTGTTCTGTTTAACATCAGGACGATGCTCGGCAGCTCTTTGTGCTCGCCGGCACTGCAGAGGAAGGAGTCATGACCCCTGAGCTCTCTGGGGTCATCCGCCGGCTGTGGAAGGACGAAGGAGTGCAGACTTGTTTCGTCAGATCACGAGAGTATCAGCTCAATGATTCAGCAGCCTAGTAAGTGCACTTGTGTTTTTGGTTTAACTTTAGCAAATATTATTTTTTACTTACAGTACATTTGGTTTATTGTATCGTAATTTGTCTCCAGAGAATCATGCTTTTGTTTGAAGTGATTGATTAACAAGAAATTTGTTTCCTAAATGGAAAAGATTCAGTTCGAGGCACAGTTGTACGGCTGATCAAGATCCATCTTCCTTGTGCAAACTTGTTCAGCATTTTTTACCTGGTAGATTCCAGCTCATTGACTGTGGGGAAATTTGGGGCTTTCTGAATTGCACAACTTTTTTCCCTCAGATTTTTCCATGTTACAGTCATTCTTGCACTCTGTTTTCAGCTTTGGTAGCCACTAAGAATGTTTCCAGTGATAATAATCAAGAGTGAAGTTCTTTCCTCTCAGTGAACTCATGCTTTCATGCAGTGGAGCTATAGAGCTGAATCTTCTAGTGAGAGAGAAGCTTTGTGCTCCTGTGTTATAGCAAAATCAGAAGGATGGGTTGTTGTGATGGAAACATCTATATTTTTGCAACAGCAGTGCTTTGGTAACCTCAGGCCTGTATTGCAGTGATTCTCATTTTTGCACCCCCTCCCCACCAATCAGCAAATCAGTATTTATTTCTATAACACATTTAAAAATGACAGTTTGACAAAGGTGCTCTGCATACCCAAAATACAAAACAATTTGTACACATATACAATAAAACACACAACACATCACTATCCATTTCAATGCATCTAAGGACAGTTATATGCAAAAGAGTAGAGATCCGTCTTCAAATTAGTTTTAAAACACTCAGTAGAGTCACAGGATCCAATATGGAGATTTTTTTGGTTTCCTGAATAGGAAAGATCCACCACCATAATCATTTGTTATTCCTACAATATTAGAAGAAAAGATACACTTCAGTTCGAAAGTTTGGTGTCATTGCAAGGACGCAATAAATTGATCAAAAGTAAGATATTTATAATGTTGCAAAAATATATTTTTTAAAAAATGCTTTTCCTTTGAACTTTCTATTCATTAAAGAAAATAACATATCCTGGTTTCCACAAACATAGTAAGTAGTACAACTGTGAGTAATGGCTGCTGAAAATGTAGCCTTTCGATAACAGGAAAAACATTTTGAAATATATTAAAATTAGTGCTGTCAAACGATTAATCGCGATTAATCGCATCCAAAATAAATGATTTTGTTTACACAATATATATATGTGTATACTGTGCATATTTATTATGTATAAATACAAACACATGCATGTATATATTTATGAAAAATGTTATGTTTATATATTAAATATGTTTATATATAATATAAGAATATAAATATATAAATGTATATACATGTAAACATTTTCAAAATATATACTGTATGTGTGTGTATTTATATATACATAATAAATATACACAGTACACAAACATTATGTAAACAAAAACTTTTATTTTGGATGTGATTAATCGCGATTAATCGTTTGACAACACTAATTAAAATTGAAAACAGTTATTTTAAATGGCAATATTTCACAACATTACTCGTTTTACTGTATTTATGATCAAATAAATACAGCCTTGGTGAGCATAAGAAACTTCTTTCAAAAACATTTTAAAAATCTTATCGACCTCACACTTTTGAATGGTAGTGTATGTATTTATGTTACGTCTTCTGTTAAATTAATAAAAAAGGGTGGTTGCTCCAAAAAACATATAAAAATATATGAAATATGCATGCAGATCTCAGAACAGGTGCAACCTTTTTAAATGTGTTCCTTCCAACTGCTGAGACTGTTTACGTAATAGACACTGCATGATAATGTGGTAGTAATATTAACTCCCAAAGAAAATAAAGAGAAAATAAACAGGTTTTGATTTGGTGATTTGATTTGGTTTTTAAAATGTTCTTCTAAATGCTCTTTAAATCATCCTGACATTTTCATGGTTGTTTTTAAAATGGTTTCAATCAAAATGCTCAGTACGCTTTGTCTCTTGTCCAGCTATCTGAACGATCTGGATAGGATATCCCAGCCCACCTACATGCCCACTCAACAAGATGTGCTGAGGACTCGAGTCAAGACCACTGGCATTGTAGAAACACACTTCACCTTCAAAGAGCTCTACTTCAAGTAAGTGCCTTTCTTTCTTTCTTTCTTTCTTTCTTTCTATGTCCTGATCACTGTAAACTGCTTGTGTCTGCACAGGATGTTTGATGTTGGTGGCCAGCGTTCAGAACGGAAGAAATGGATCCATTGTTTTGAAGGCGTCACTGCTATTATCTTCTGTGTGGCGCTCAGCGACTATGACCTGGTGCTAGCTGAGGATGAAGAGATGGTGAGTTTCCTTCATCATCCTGAAGTGAGCCCTATAGAACTAAATCAGAATGGCACACTAGTCTGTTAACAAGATCACGGGGCCAATTCATTTGATATGATGGATTAATGAAAATATAGTCAAATATTATAATCACTGAGAAAAGCTACTTCCAGATCTCAGTATTTCAGTTCCACAGGGGATGTTCCATTTGTCCTGGTTGTGTTAAAGTGATTTCCTCATAGCTCCTGGAAAGGGAGCATAGTTTCCTCATGAGACCTAATTTCTTAAAATACACTGACTATTTTTCCATACAAGGATGATTTGAGGTTGCATATTGATTTTCAGTGGAGTCAATATGCACAATGTTATCGAATGAATTAACCCTTGATTCTATTGCAGCACTGTGTTTATTTATTTTTTTCATATGTAATGTAAAATCTCAGCTCTCGCTTGTCAAACCAAGCAATGTCCAAACAAATGTAAACATTAGTCATGTGGTGATCTCGATGTGTCCACAGAACCGTATGCATGAGAGCATGAAGCTTTTTGACAGCATCTGCAACAACAAATGGTTCACAGACACATCCATCATTCTCTTCCTCAATAAGAAGGATCTGTTCGAGGAGAAGATCAAACGGAGTCCACTTACGATATGCTACCCAGAATACTCTGGTGAGAATATTGTCCTTATGAGTGAAGGGATATTAAGTGGTTTAAATAACACACATGCATTAGTATTTGGCACTTAAACTCAGAGCTGAATTTATATGTGGTGAATGATGATGCACACTTAGGAAGAAGTTTGTTTCAGGACTGTAGGCTATATTCAACAATACTTGTATTATTCCTGATAACTTGATCTGTTTTTGGTTCAGTCCTGGAAAACATGAACTATTTTGAATCATGTCTAAAATTAGATGGATCTGCAGATAATCAGTAAGTCATATTTTTACTCGAGCGAGCATCATTATATTGGTAGAGCCTTTAGGGCAAAAGGCAGAGTGCGTGAGTTATTGCTTGTTTATAAAAAGTTATAAAATGAAGTAGGGACTATGTGAGGTTGAGTTTGAACAGCCTATCAGAGAAGGGGAGCTATTCGTTGTCTAAGCACTGTGGAAAAACCTCTGTTTTGTGTCTGCTAGTCGTCATCCTTCAGGGCTGGGAGAAAGTCTTGCCGGTTTGGAGATGTTTTAATGTCTCTCTCAGTCTTTATATTTTATATTTACAGATGTTGGTTTGTCCTCAGTGTATTTCATTGAAATCATTCATGTATGAAAAGTGGCTGGACCATTAGCAGAAACTTTTGCCTCACTTCATTTTTTAAAATGATGAATTAGTGTTGTTTTTCAATCTGGACTAAAAACCTTGAATCACTGAGATGCTTTAATATACTCCTCCAAAAATAACTGAGTATTTTTATTCTGTGCCCCGAATAATCATGTTATGTCTCGTTCATTGTCTTGTTCATTCTCCATATCCCCACTTAAAAAGTTGCTGGAGTAAGTACTCTTTCTATTTGAAATGTATTTCAGTATGTAATACATTTATTTCTGTGATACTAAAACTGAATTTTCAGCAGTCATTACTCCAGTCTTAAAGGGTTAGTTCAGCCAAAAATGAAAATTAGGCTGTGTTTTACTCACCCCCGAGGCATCCTAGGTGTATATGACTTTCTTTTTTCAGACGAATCCAGTCGGACTTATATAAAAATTTGTCCTGGCTATTCCAAACTCTATCATTGCAGTCAGCAGGTGTTGCAGTGCTTCAGTCCAAAAGAAGTGAAATAAAAAGC